TTTTATTACATTGTCGATTAAATTATTATTATTTAAGAGTGATAAATGTATTTTGTAAAAGATATTGAAAACTTTAAGTGAAACGCCCAAAGAAAGAAACTGAGAAATTTTAACGCAACGAGAGAATATGTAAAATAAATGTTCAAAATAAGATCGACACATTTTGTCTATTTTATCTCATATATACCAAGTTATACAAGTAAATAATTCACCTACAGTATTTAACCTACAGTAAAATGTGTAGGTTTTACTAAGGGAGTCTCACTAGTAGAAAAATGATTTGCAGTGACACTTGTACGAAATTAAATTTAAACTTGGTTCGATTAAATGGCGGGGGTCAAGGGGGTTGCGCCCCCTTGCGGGGTCCAAGGGGCAGCGCCCCTGGCGGGGTCCAAGGGGCAGCGCCCCTGGCGGGGTCCAAGGGGCAGCGCCCCTGGCGGGGTCCAAGGGGCAGCGCCCCTGGCGGGGGTCTCGCTATTATAGAAATAAATATGGAAATTTATTTTCGGATAAACATGTCCATATTAATTATTTAATAGAATGACTTTCTGTTAGAGTAAAACTCTAACTGATTGGCCTTATCTCTTTGGTAATCAGAAGAATTCGAGTTCTACTAAAACTGCTAGTTCGTGGTCTATATATTGGTGCCTCAGTTTTAGACTGTCTATGAGAGTGATTATCCCCATAATCTAAATTTCGTGTAACCCAGGCATAGGGTCGAAATATTAGATTCGGAAAGTGATCACACGATACTCTGAGAAATCCGCCAAATTTTCTAAAACAGTTTCCCAACTCCCCAGCTCAAACAATGTGGCAATGCATTTTTAAACAATCCATTCTCCCATTGTGGATGCTCTAAGAGTCTCTACCGAAAAAAAGGCAAACCTTTTATTTAGTTTGACCTCGCATTATTTAAAATTTGGAGCAAAATTTGATGTTTTTGAATGTCAGCGTCATCTTTATACATAGACTATATCATAGACTTTGCAATTCTAATCCATTCTGTGGCTGTTTCTAAGAATACGTTCTCCTAAATCAGTTAAGAAATTGTGGTTCCAATATGTGCTAGTACTATATATGATGTTATTCCAAAGTAGTTGCAGTTTACCAGCCACATATGCTATTTAAAGCCTTTCTTTTTGCTCCTTGAAATGTGAAACGTGCAAGCTCCATTTATACCATCAAAGTTGTGCTCTTAACATAATTTTTGCCTTCTTTCTAATGAGGCAGGAAAGAAAAACGGAGGAAGAAGAGGAAGCTCTTATTAAATACTTATTCAAAGTGCGTATTGTGGCTAAAGGGGCCTTTGATCTTTGACTTTTTCAACTCATATTCCTTCCACAGTTGTTTCTGCTATACAATATTCTCATTATGTTAATGTGTGGGCCGTGTGGCTATAGGTCAGGGAGAGAAAAGTTCATAAAATGAATCGGTGATGAAGATATCAAAGATGAGGATGAAGATGATGAAGATATAGATGTAGTTGAACATAAAAGTGGAGAATCATTAATCAATTTTCTTAAGGTACAAATGTCATGAATTTCCATGTTCCATTTAACGATGGGTATTTTTATTAATCTTCCAACCTACGGAGTCTCGTTTGCGGTGGTTTGGACATGTGCGTATAAGGATAGGCTGAATAGTCTAATTGTTTTGTTATGTTCTTTAATATGTGCACCTTAAAACAAGAAGCATTTTAGAATGAAGGGACTGCTTAAACACTAATGTACAATTTTTATGGATCAGTTTAACTAAATAGAACTTACAGTTATCATGTTATATATCAAAGTTATCGTTATACATTTTGGATGGCATGTTATATATCAAAGTTATAAACTTATGTTTTGTCCAAGTCACACTTTTTGTGTTGAGGACAATGTATGTGGTTCAGTTTTTGGGACTAAATGTGTAATTGCTTAAAATTCTATTGACCAATGTCTATTCAATTGTAATGTTGCTGGAAATTTTGTTATGTATTGTTCAGCAAATGACAGATTCGAATCTTAAGAGCAACATTTTAACGTTTTGATTTTCTGTCATATCTCCAAAATAAGGTATGATGTACTTTTGTAGCTATTTCTCATGCCCAAAAAACATTGGTTTGATCTATATCTTATTTAGCTCTCTTGCAGATCTGATTAGTGATTTGGTTTTCAGTCAAAGAGTTTTTGTTGAGCAGCTCATGTCCAAAAGTAGCAGCTTCAGTAGAGTATTAGCACCAAATTGATGCTATAGAGTATTAGTGTTAGCATTATTTTGTTAATTTTTGCTACTTACAATATTGCAAAGTTAAAAAATGATGCAGGCTATGTTGAACCAGATATTGTGAAGTACTCTAAAGACTCTTTATTGGATTATGATGGCGATGAAAGGAATTAGGGATGGATTCGGGTCGGGTCGGGCCCGGGCCGGGCCTAGGCCGGGTCGGGCCCGGGTCCGGGCCTAGGCCCGGTCGGGCCGCCGGATCAAGAATAGTGGGCCCAGGACCGGCCCGAGGGTTGGACGGGTCCGGTTCGGGCCGGGCCACCCGCCCGGGTCACGGGTCGGGCCACCCGCCGGGCCGGGCCGGGCCGGTTAAATATTTTTTTTAAAAAAAAATTATATTTTATACTTTATAGTTTAATACAAGTATTAAAAAACAAACTTCGAGTTAATTCGAATTATAGCAAATTAAGTAGGGAATTAACTAGTTTTGTGTAAAACATATTTTTTAAACTAGAGTCAAATGTAGCAATTAATAAAAAATTGTAAAAAACTAATTAACTATTTATCTAACTATTAATTCGAGTTATAGCAAATTAAGTAGTGAATTAACTAGTTTTGTGTACAACATATTTTTTAAACTAGAGTCAAATGTAGCTATTAATACCCGGTCCCGGACCACCCGACCGGGCCAGTCCCGAGCCCGCACAGTACCGGGCCAGGCCGGGTCACGGGCCGGGTGGCCCGAACCGAATCCATCCCTAAAAGGAATTATGATGTCTAGCGTGTAGCATGTAAAAATGTTGTATGATAATGTGTAGATTTATAGCATCTTGTAATACACTACTTGTGTCGTACTTGATTGATAATGACATTGTAAAATAATTCTAGTTGTCAATACAAATATTGTTTTTTTGTTTTGACTATTTATTAATATTTATATAATCTATAATAAAACTAGAACGAAATAACACAATGATTATAATAATAATATTATTGTTATTATATGACACCGATATGTCCCAAATTTTTATGATACCAAGATGTCACAACGTTTTATTATATCAATGTCATAATCTTGCATCACATTAATATGTCATAATTTACTGACGCTATTTTGTTTTACAATCAGTGACACTATATATTTAGTGTTACTAACCGTGACTTTTCCCGACGCTTTTTTAGTGTCATAGAAACTATCACTTACACTAAATTAGTGTCACTATAAGCCTTTTTCTACTAGTGTCTGTTGCAAGGCCAAGTGGTCAGCAGCGGAATCGGAGGCGGTTAGAGTACGAGATGCTATACTAGGGGCGATCGAAGAAGGCCGAAGCAAGGTGGAGATTGAGACATATGCACTCACATAGGGATGGACTCGGAACGGTTCAACCGGAACGAAACCGGCCCAACCCGACCCGTGGCCTAGGTCCGGGGCGGGTGTTTTATACCCGAACCGGGATTTTTCGGGGCGAGCTCCGAGTCGCGATAAAATGAATCAGCTCGACCGAACCCGATTCGAGCCTTTTTATTGTTTTTCAAAATCTTTGGAAGGTAAATGGGTTGGGTAATTGGGTTGGGTGTTATGGACGAGTTTAGGGTGTGGGGGTGCGAAGTAATTGGAAAACCAAAAAATGAGGTACCCAACACAAAACTAGCGCGACCCGGCCTGACCCTGCTTAGGCCCGAACAGGACCCGGTAGCTACCCGAGCCCCATCCGAGTCTCAACAACCCCCAAAAAAGCTCAGTCAGGCCCGGCTCAAGGCCGACCAGGACCTGCCCGACTCCATCCCTACACTCCAGGGTCTTCAACTCATAATTGATGATACAATGAAAGTTTAGGAACCAAAGTAATTTTATTGTCTCTTTTTATAGAAGATCTGTGAATCGTAGGGATGAACCCAGGCCGGTCCGATTCCAGTTACGAGCCCGAGCGAGCTTTTTTTCCAGATTGTTGGGCTTGGAACCAGCACGATTGATATCGGGTTCAGGCCTAACCGGGTCGAGCCCGAGTCTATGTAATTTTTTTTTTGCTTTCTAATTAACCCCCCACCCCCACCCACCCCTCAAACCTCCCCAAAACACCCAACCCTACCCAAGGAAAAGGAACAAAATTGGGGGAAAAAAATGAACCGTGTCGGGCCCGAACCGCTCGAGCCGATTCAACAAAAGTAGGGCCCGAGTCCAACCCGCCCACGCGGGCTAAAACCTCAGAATCGTCAATCCAGTCCCGGTCCAATCCAAGCCCACACAGTAGCGGGCCGGTCCAGTTTGACCTGGTTCAATCCATCCCTAGCGAATCGTGTTGCTAATGGCTTAGCAAGGGCACACGTGACTATCTCAGATCAGAAGATTACCTATGATATTATCCCTATGTGAATTGTCAATCAATTGTCAAACGATTTATTAATTTAATATAATTATTCTCTTTTGATCAAAAAACAAAGCACAACAAATATAACAAGGGAAAAGGATCACATAAGCCTCAAACTAACTTAAAAAATGCAAATCAAACTAACTATAAGGATCATATAGGATACTTTGTAGGATCATATAGGATACTTTGTAGGATCATATAGGATACTTTGTCTGGCCGTTACCATTTGAACGGTTCAGGAGAGAATTTTTTTATGGAATTACTTCCTAAAGCAAATATTTGCCAAATAATTTTCCTGCCAAAAAACTTCACAAACTAAATATATGTAATTGTGTGGTTGTCTAGGTATTCTCAATCTCAAGACCTGAACTAAACCTCATCCAGATTCATACATAAAAAGGAAAGAAAACGAGAGCAAAATACTGGAAACATTGATTTTAAAGCATCTCAAGCAGGAAGGCCGCTTGAACAAGTAAGCAGAAGGGAAAGACAATTCTGTAGATTTAAACCTTTTGTATGAAATCAAGCAATTTGTCACAATAATGATTGAAAACCATGGAGAACAATAGGCCATAATGTACTGGAATTGACAAATTGTGCTTGGATTCCAATTGATTAGGTGAGATGTAATAAATCAGGAACGCAAAGCAATGCAACCAACTAACAATCTTAAAACTTATTTAACTCATAGATGGGTTCATCAAGGTGCTCAAACGAAAGCAGATTAATCAGATGGAAAAGAGATTCAAACACAAACTAAAGGTAAAACAGGATGACGAAGACGGCAAGGAAACGGATAGAAGAGCACCAGACCAGACAGATCCAACTTAGAGTTGACCGCAGTCAGTAATCGTCACTGGCTTAGAAGTTTTTCCGTCTGGCTTTCCAACTTTCTCCACTTTCTTGATCACATCAAGGCCATCCACGACCTGTCCAAACACCACGTGCTTACCATCGAGCCATTCAGTCTTCGCGGTGCAGATGAAGAACTGAGATCCGTTAGTGTCTGGGCCCGCATTCGCCATAGAGAGGATGCCGGGTCCGGTGTGCTTCTTAATGAAATTTTCGTCTTTAAACTTTTCCCCGTAGATCGACTCACCTCCGGTTCCGTTTCCCTTTGTGAAGTCGCCACCCTGGCACATGAAGTCGGGAATCACGCGGTGGAATGTGGAGCCCTTGAAGTGCAGCGGCTTGCCCAACTTCCCTAGTCCTTTCTCTCCGGTGCACAGAGCGCGGAAATTCTCGGCCGTCCTTGGAGTGACGTCACTGAAGAGCTCCATCACGACGCGACCGGCGAAGACAGCCGTCTGGCCAGTTCCGATGGTGATGTCGAAGAACACTCTTGGATTCGCCATTGCTTTCTCTGGACCTTTCAGTGTGCTAATGCTCGGGATTTAGGGTTTTCTTTTCGGATGGGGTTGTGCGGTTATATAGCGAAATTCGACGGGGCGTCACGTGCAGGGAATCAATCTTGGCCGTTAATCACGGCACGTGGCAAAAGCAAGGAGGTTGATAGATGCCGGGCGTGGTTAGATCTGAGGATAGTTGGTTAGTAAGACTTGACCGCGGTTAGATCTGCGATATTGAAGACGGATCGCGTGGGATATGCTTTTAGGATGCACTCATTGAACCGGCCCGTTTTCGACCGGGCCCCATTCATTAGCTGAAATTTATTTTATTCGTATGGATGTTTGACTATGATCGTTCTTTGATTAACCCAATTTTATTATAAGAAATTGTCTTAAATAGGTGTAAAATGTTTATGAATTTCAAATTGGATTCATTATATAAAGTAATTATTGTCATGTCTTTAATATTATGAGACTTAAAAAATGATACTCCTTCCGTCCTCATATAATTGTCTCATTTTCTCATTTTTGGATGTCCCTGTATTATTATCTCATATCATATTTGGTAACATTTGTGTGCCTCTAATTCATTCTTACTTTATTCACACTTTATCAACTCATTATTAACCACATAATTGTACTTTTCTTAAAAATCACGTCAGCTCTTTCGTTCCAATATTAGGGGACGAAAGTAGTAATAATTTTTAAACTTAGTAGTAATTAATCTTATTTAAGAAATAAAAATATTACAATCTTATTTTCATTCCAACACATCTTTACTCCTATTATGAGATTTTTCCGCTTTTATTATCCGCTTTTCTTCTGTCTCCATGTTTAATTAATTTATTCAAAAAAAAACTTAGTAGTAATTAATCTTATTTAAGAAATAAAAATATTACAAACTTATATTCATTCCAACACATCTTTACTCCTATTATGAGATTTTTCCGCTTTTATTATCCGCTTTTCTTCCGTCTCCATGTTTAATTAATTTATTCAAAAAAAAACTTAGTGGTAATTAATCTTATTTAAGAAATAAAAATATTACAAACTTATTTTCATTCCAACACATCTTTACTCCTATTATGAGATTTTATCCGTCCCTTTCCCATTTTTCCTCTTATAATAGATACTACCTCCGTCCCTTAAAACTTTGTCATATTTTCTTTCGGGACGTCCCAAAAAACTTTGCCACTTTCCCTTTTAATCAATTATTTTGTGGTTTCTGTTATTTCTCTCACCTCTGCACATACCTCAATCACACAGTTTTTACTTTATTATTTTCCGTACCGGTCAACTTTAGCAAAGTTTTAAGGGACGGAGGTAGTAATAGATTAGTTTCATACGAAGTACTACTTTTCCATGTCAAACACTACCAAATCATCCGATTCTTTACTTTTGAACTGTTCAAACTCTGGATAGAACGATTGTTATTCCCGTAGTAAATACTAAAATTACATTAATTCTACATTTTCATGAATAGTGAATTGCTTTCTAGAAGCCAGTTTACTAATATTGGAATTGACTGGAATAATTTTGTTAAATTTATAAAATTCTGTCTGAAGTGAATGGATTAGATGATTTTGCTTATTTATGGGAAAAAAATATTTAAGAAAATGTTTATTAATAAAATTAAGGAAGAATTATATGAAAGAATAGCAAAAATGGTTATCCATGTGCAACGATTTCAGTCAACTCAGACAGATAAAAAACTTTAACCTTATTTATTTGGGTTATTCAACAAATTAACACGCGAAATAAAAAATTTGATGTTTGATAAAAAAAAACTTACCAAGGCAAAATACAAGATCACCGTAGTGACTCTGAGTATATTTTAAGTTGCGTTGGACTAGTTTTTTGTTTGTCAAATAAAGTCTTATATAGGGATTCTGTATGGCCGACGCCATTAGAGGCGGTTCCCGGTGGAAGTTTTCAATGAAACTTTTTGAGCATCTTATTCATTAAGTCTGGTTATTCATACCAAATTTCAGCTAAAATTTCAATCCGGAAGACATTTAAATAAATTCTTGAAGATAAGTGTGCAATTAAAAGCGCAGTTATCTTCAAGAGTTTATTTGAATGACTTTCCGATTGAAGTTTTAGCTGAAATTTGGTATGAGTAAACTAGACTTAATGAATAAGATGCTTACAAAATTTCATCAAAAAAATCCACCGGGAACCACCCCAAATGGCGTCGGTCGGACATGACCTTCTATATAGGGCCTTATTTGACTTTTTTTGTAAGTTCGAGACCCTATCGGACCTTTTTCTCTTATTATTATTATTATTATTTGTGATGGGGTGTGAGTGATAGTAAAGATGGTCAATATCCCTTTATGAAAACATGAAACTTAATTAAAAGGTGGTCGATATCCCTTCTTATTACTTCCTCAGTCCCAAATTGTAAGATACATTTACTATTCACTTGGTCGGCTTAAATCGCTATTAATATTTTACTTTTTATATCAAAAGTTTATGAAATTTGAATTATTTTTTGCAGGTTTTGTAGCGGTTTTTATGTAGTTTCTGGATATGTAAATTTTATTTTCTAAAAGTAATTTGAGTATTTACAGGGATCAACTTGCTTTATCGTCGGTCAAACATCGTAAACCGTAAAATATCTTATAAAATGGGACGGAGAGAGTAGTTACTATGGAGTATTAAATGTAAACTAGTGCAGGTGATGATTTGAATCAAGTAGTAGGGGGGGCATGTGATCGTAATTAAATCCCAAAATCACAAGATGTCAATGATATTAGAGGAAATTCCCTAAATGCGAATAAATAAATCATTAATTGCCAAAATAGGACTAAAGTTTAAAAAATTTCTAAATAGGATATATTATTTGTATTTGGACAAAGATGCCTTGAAGCTTGGTAACATGCTGCATTGCTGCCACAGACACAATGCCAGACCGCTGCCACTCGTCGGCCGCCACTGCTCGCCGGCCGCCAACGCTCGCCGGCTGCCGCCGCTGACGGCCACCGTTGTGGCCTCAAAATTGGACACCATTGCAGATCTGGCCTCCGCTGTTGCAGATCTGGCCGCCACAGTTGCAGATCTGGTCGCCGGAGCCATAGATCTGATGACCGGAGCCATAGATCTGGTCATCGGAGCCATAGATCTGACCGCCTCCATCCATCGACTGATCCCCTGCAAATCCGGCCTTCGTCGCTGCATCTCTGGCCGCCGCTGCCGCTATTGCCAACACTTTTATCGGAATGCCAACATGAAATTGAAATTGCCATTTGAATGGCATTTTCGAAAGGAAACACATATTTTTCGAAGAGTAAGAGTGTCATTTTGATGTCATTTTCAGAGTAAATTTGGCAATTTTAATAAGTAAAGAAGAAATCGGAAGCGTCGGACATGAGAGCTGCGACAAAATCAGAAGAGGGGTAGATAGAAAAACAGTAAACGAGGAGGAGAAGGGAGGAGGGGGAGTATAACGAGCTTCATTCTGCAGCAACAGATCTGGATCAGATTTGTCCCTCTCTGCTCGACCCTGCTCGACTCTGGTTTTGTTGCTAGCCGATGGTCGCCGCAGTTGCTCGCCGCTTCTGGAAACTCGATGTTGCAGGTTTTGGCCGGAGAAGATGAGGAGGCTGGAGAAGATAGCTAATGCGCAGAGAATAGTTTAAAAATCAAAGAAGACAAAATGATCTCCCAACAAGAGAAGTGATGCTCGGAAAAGTCAGGCTCGATCATGTGCGGAAGCTAACGCGAGTAGAAGGGGTAAATTTTGAATAGTAGTCCTATTTGGGAATAAAAGTATATCTACTCCTATTTGGGAATTTACACAATAATTTAGTCCTAATTAGGGTAAAGAACACATGATATTATCTAGTTACAATTAGAAATCATATATACGGCTTAAGATGAATATTTATGAAAAATAAAAGTGGTGTATAAAAAAGATACACTAGATTGTCATTAAAAAACGAACCGGTGAGTTGGATGAAAGAAGGTTTGTTTGTTTTTTAGAATGAAAACAAGTTATCGGTTCATTTTTAAATTTTTCATTACAAAATGGATAGTCTAAAATTATAAGGTTATGAGACAGAATTAAGAGACTTCAAAAGAATATAATAACTCACTAACTAATCTGAAGATGTAGACTCATTTATCAACATAGAAGATCATGATATTAAATTAATAATCAAAATTAAAAAAGTATCAAAGCTACTTTGCGATTGAAAACAAGCACATAAATCAATTTCATCATTTTCCACAAGGAAATCACAGAAAGTATTGTTTGTCCAACGAGTAGAGAGAAACAGCTAAAATCTTCAATTTGACCAGCTAAAAAATGTCAAAATCATCGATTTAATCGCCACTAAAAAGAAGGACCAATCCAGCACTATCTTTCTCTCAGTGATATAGCAGGGGGGCGAATAACTGATATATCGGAGTTGTTGATGCCCGAAGTCAACTCCAAAAAATTAAGAATATTTTTATTATGACTTATTTCATTCATAGATCAGATCATACCAGATCAGAATATGCTAAACTAAACTTAAATAGATCAAACTATACCAGACTTAAATAGATAAAATCAATAAAGACCAAACATCTCTCGAACTAGATCAGATAAGTAGGACAAGCATTGAAGGGGGGAAAGAGAGGAGAGAGGGCTATGGTTTTCTCTTCCCACATTCCACAGTCGTTGGAATGGTTTGAGTTACTAGGCGGATAGTTTGGTATAGCTAAATTTAGATAAAAGAAGGTTTGTTAAATATTGATATACAATTTCTCCATGAAATCTGAACGCCATCTAAGACAAAGAAATCATATACTCTGTAATTCCGTATAATAATAATTCTAAAAGAATAACAGAAGATTGTCCATTATTACACAATTGAAAAGAAATGAATTAATCATCTTTTAGGGAGGATTAAATTTTCTTCTATAAATTGACGTTTTCAGATTTCAGAAGAACTTCATTAACAGTGTTCAAGATATACTTTCACTCCCAAAACCTCTTTTAATTCTCTTTCATTTCATAATAGGTTATCACCATCTATATTTGATGAAAACCTTAGAGATAAGAAGAGTTTGATGGTCAAGCAAGAGAAAAAAACTTGAGAGTAGTGAAGAGCTGGTGGTTGACTCTTTGCTTTTAGTGGTTGCTGGTTGAAAAACTGAAACTTGTCTTTCCTTTTATGGTCTTTTTCTCAGGACTTTTCAATTATTTCTTTTTAGCATTCTAGTAGCAGGTGCCACATTGTTGTTGGTGGAGTCTACCAAATTATGGGGTTAGCGAGTTAGTTCACCACTAAACGATCATTCAACTCTATGTCTCATCCCGATGTAGCCTTTAGTTTGGCGGCTTTGTATCTAGACATTTTCTTTAATATGAATTAAGTTATCTTTTGCCAAAAAAAAAAGGTTATCACCATCGATTTGCCTTTAACCCTTGAAATCATCATCTCACACATATGTAGATAGGGATGGACTGGGCCGGGCCGAACCGGCCCGGAACCGGCCCTGTACTGTTTGGGCCCGGACCGGACCGGGACCGATTGGCCGGTTCCGGGCTTTTAGCCCGTTTAGGTGGGTCGGGCGGGCCAGGCTCAGGCCCAGTTTTGGGCAAACCAGCCCGGGCGGTTCGGGCCGGGCCCAGGTCTTTTTTTTCAATTTTTTTTCTTTTCCTAGGCTAAGGCTGGGTGTTTTGGGGAGGTTTGGGGGTGGGGGTGAGGGGGGGGTCGGGGGATAACAAGAAAGCAAAAAAAAAAAGACATCGAACCGGGCCCGGCCCGGTCCGGTTAGGCTCGGACCCGGTATCAGCCCGGACCGGTTCCGGGCCCATGAATTTGCAAAAAAAAGCCCGTCCAGGCCCGACCCGGAACCAGAACCGGACCGGCCCGGGTCCATCCCTATATGTAGAGAACTAAAGTTTCTTCACATCACTTTGAACAATGTATAATAACAATGCCCATACACAAACCATGTTGAGAAGTACGGGATATTTTTCTCATATTACATTAGTTGAAACTAATGTCAATATAATATGAGGTGATGCTAACGATCACAAATACTCAAGCCATCCAAGACAGACACACCAATGGAAATTCACCAATGACTCAAAAATCATAACATTATAATAAACCAATGTATTGAAGTAACTTGATTAGTTAGAATCAAGGGTCTATAGTTGTTTAAGCTGCACACGATTATAGCAAACTACAATAGAGCTGAAAATGTTCAGCACATTGCGTCCAAGTTAGACCTTAAAATCCTTAAATATATCGAAGGCATTGGAAATTTGGAATATTTGTGAAGGCTGCCAGGTACTATTCCCTTAAAGGCTTAAAATACCCAATGCTTGAATCACACAAGTCGAAATAGGCTACAAGGAGTCTGCATAACATCTGGCATCATAATCTTTAGCTGTCACATCACTGTCCTTGATAACTTAATTCCCATGGATAGTATAACGGTCAAACTTCTTGTTTGGGTCATATATCTGCAAAAAATTGGGAGGGGGTTAGTTCTTATCTGTAATTGTCCAGATACTTGAGTGAAAATGACTCATTTTCCTTATCTAAGTTTAATAATAAGTATATTCATAAATAGATTACTCAATTCAAGATGCAATTTAATCAAAGATGAGTTCATATGGGCATTTTTTGGAAGATTATGTATTGAAATCCGAAAATGATAATAATTTGATACAAATTTGGCTAAAACGAAAAGTATTCTTGAACGGGATAAATAGCATTAAACTCCCCTTTATTCTATGAGATACACCAAGTCTTGAAATTCCGTTAAATTATAGAGTACCATTTTAGACCATAGAGCCTTTTAAGAATTTAAAAGTGGTAATTCATCACACCGACTCTCTGCAAGTGCACAAACTTTCACCTCTAAGGAAAAGGCATAAAGGGAGAGAAGAAGGGTTTACCTCCCACCGAGATGCAGGGAAAATATGCTTATTCTTCTCGTACCAATGTCTTTCTACAACTTTCCCAGCATGCGACTGTTAGTTATTTCAGAGAAAGTATTAATAAGTTTGACAACTAGATTGCTTTCCAATAAAATAAATCTTCACAGTTACATTAATAATGATGGCAACAAATAATAAAGGATCCAAAAGTTGTAAAATGTGGATAGTTGCGCCAGTAAATTTTGAAAATTTTAAATTAATGCAATTAAAAGACTTCAGCTCAATGCAATTATTCAAGCAGAAAGGTAAAACAAAAATAGATATATCTAGCTATGAGCATAAAGTGTCGTGTTCAACGATATTCATGAATGTGTTAAAGATACAAGCAATTGAACTATCCTCATAAATCCCTACAGTTCCATACTGCTAACTAGTAACTACAACAGTTTCCACTCACAAAAAAGACTAGTATGTACGGAGTATCAATCTATTGGCACAATGGTGTATGTAAGTTAAAAAACGGGGATATGCCATCTGAGCAAACATAAAGTAGGAATGTGTACCTCATCCTTCTCTATAGTAGCATCTGCTGTTGTGCGCACATCTTCATGGACATCAAAATGGAAAAGCTGTGCCAAGGTGTAGATAAAAAGTACATAAATAAAGAGTTGATTTTCCAGACAACTTCAGCTTAAACCCAAAATAAAGTCAAAAATGACTTCTCATTCATCAAGCCCCATACTAAATGTCTAAATCACATGCTCTGTGATTTAGTATTACATTTGAATGTTTCAGAGGGTAGGGGTGAATGGTGATGATAGGTACAGAGCATTAGCTAATCTGTAATCCAATAAGCATATATTCAATGCTTCAAACTAGCATATTTCTTCTTAGAAGAAGATACATACTCCGTATTAAAATGTCAAATACAAATGAAAGAATGAAGATGCATCTAGTTTCCTATAAAACAAGTACGTACTCATGTGAAATGTTTCAATTCAATATGTAAGAAGGTAAGAAGGATATGAAATGAAAATTTCTGAATGACTTGAACAAAAAAAATGTGGTTTAGAAGGTTACCGGTCCACTCTTCCCCCTTGCCTTATTAACTATCAGCTCGTAGAAACTGTGTTGCTGAGCATCCACACCAGAAAATAAAGAGTTAGGTACGACCAAAGTTAGGCTACATATTATATGGAACCAAACCTTCTATCATCTTACATGAGGAATAATAAGATCTTCTTTGACATAAAGAAGGTTCTCCACTGAAGTAGTTCGAACCTCTCGAAACTCAGGGGCAAGTTGCTGCTGAACAGCACGAAGGAACTCTCCTATGCTATCCCCTTTTCGGACCTACAGATAGAAGTGGCATAATGCAAGAGCATAACATTTTATGAAGGTAGGAGGCTATTCTAACTCTAAGGGTGCACTTATTAACCTGGATAACTCTTCTATGGCCTGTCCCGTCCCAATAACTATAGGTGATTTCAAGAGGTTCATCTGAAAATACAGATCCATAAAAAAGATTAAGTTACTCAAACATTACTAGTTACACCATACCTCCAAGATAATGTACTTTTGTAGAAGGGGAAAATAATTTAAATACCCCAAACTTTAATGGGATGTGAGATAAGTACCCAAACTTGCATATGTAATATATATACCCCGAACTTTATATAAAAAGTTATTTCCGCACCATGATGGTATGTTTTAATACAAATACAAATTTATTGGAATAACTGCACAATTTAAAATACTCTAGGCCTTGTTAGAATGCAACTAACATTCTAAAATTTCATTTGTGTAATAAATAATACGTAGTATTACATCCAATACAAATTAATTTTATTTGCACCCTCATAAATGTTGTGTATTTTAAATTATGTACTTAACACCATAAAATTACATTTGTGAAAAAATATAATTATTGTGCTAACATTACTTTTATATAAAGTTTGGGGTATATATTACATGTGCAAGTTTGAGGTACTTATTTCACACTCATTCAAAGTTTGGGATATTTAAATTATTTTCCCCTTTGTAGAATGATGTAATTACTTTTGATCAGTTGCTGTTCACGAAACCATTGATTTTTTAGCCTTTCACGTTCAGCTTGCTCCTCTGCCTCCCTCTCACTGAAGAAGTGAACTTTGAATTCCAAGGGCCATGTATGAGTAATAAAATGAGCAGAAAAAGATGGGAAGATAATATGGTAGCAATACTCTCACAAGAGAAGAGAAAAAGAGAGGGACAACGGTATTCCGAACCTGTCTGGCAGAAAACTGGTTTCTACAGTGGGATCTTTCCCAAATTTTCTTCTTACAGGATTCTCCAATTCCTTGATTTCTACGCAAAATATGGACTTGGTTAAAATAGAAATATTTGCCAAATAACAACACCTTAACGCTAGAATCTACTAATAGAACGAAACGAAGGCCATCTAAGTTAGCCCTAGCCAACCACATACACAGTGAAGTACGAATGTTTGTTGTTAAATAGAAGAAGGACAATCAACAACATGTTCTCTCTGTGATAAGGAAATAAACATTACGATTACAGACTAAAGAAGCATAATTAGAACCAATACATACTGATATCATCACAGGTATTCAATAGTTCAAGTGTGAAGAAATAAGCGCTTACTGTTTTCCTCGTCTTCCTCTTCATTGTCGTTGTCAAAATCATCCGAAAATGACAATCGAGGGTCTACTTTCACTTTGCGCTTCTTTAGCTTTTGTAACAGAAGTTCCTCCTCCCTAAGCAAAATACATGGTAGCATATTAAATAGAGACCGTATGGTGAAATGGCCCCTTATACTTGGCATGTATAGCACACTCAAGAAAGATCAGCTCACTTTTGTTGCAACTTCTGAAGCTTCTCCTTCTCTTCCTCTTCAATTTTAGTCCTGATATTGACCCTCTTTGATACATAAGTCCAAATATTATGTGTGTAAGACAGCCATTCAACAAAGTGTCCTCATTTAATTATCATAGCATCAAATTTTAGAACCAGAGTAACTACCTTCTCAACGTATTCTTCTCTAGTAACAAGACCAACAGTTTCCTTCTTAAATGTGGTCTCCAGAATCTGAACAACGCAAAGTATGCATAAACACAAACAAACCGGAGCTCGAAATGCATAATTCATGGGCGTTTTACTTCCGATGAAGCTGACAAAGTAACTTCATAGAAGCAAGAGCCCTAAATTATGTTGGAGTTGTTTTAGCTAAAGTACGAATTAGAAGACCTCGGAGGTACTGGAGCCGAACTGAAGAAGGCCTGGCTGTCCTATAGATGAAGCAGTTTTGTTCTTGAGCTCCTGAATTTTTCGTCGTTCGGCTTCCCGCTGCTTCTCCAGCCGGCGGATTTTCACAGCATCTTGGGCAGTTCCGACATAACCATCTCCCATTCCCGCCATCTTTGCTTAGAATTTTAGAGCTCGACGGCGTCAGATTTGGATGTATCGAAATTTTGAATGATCACTTATACCTAGAAATATGGGAGAAGAAAGAACTATTTACAGCCTTTTTAGCATCCATCCACTCTTAAAAAAATATAAATTGGACTATAATCTCAATCTAACAGATAGAGAGTGGGGCTCTGTCTCCGATACATGCAGATGCCCTATTCATTTTTAGCATAATAATCCCTCATCATAGTTGTCGGGATTTGAACTCGAGACATAACCCTTGTGGCACTCTCTTGCTACCGGTTGAGCTACGCCCACCGATCACTATTTTTATTTTGGAGGGGACAAAATAAGTGTTGTTTGTGCACTATTTGAGTTGAGTTGAAAGTGTTTTTGGTGTTGCAATTTTTTGTTTTTAAAGAGGTGTTAATCTCATTCTTACAACTGCTATTGCTTCTTCAGAAACAACAGAAGTTGGAGTGTTTGAATAAAAGTAGAAGTACTTCTGATGTTCTAAATTACTCATGGGAGTAGTTTTTTTAGAAGCTGGTAGATACCAGCTTCTGAAAACTTATCCTACTTCTTCTTTAAAAAAGAAGTGGAAGCAGAATCAGTTTCAAACACTCTCTAAATTTGAGTTCAAACACTTTCTAAATTTAAATTTGATCCTACATGTGTGTCATTGGAATCTTGACACTTTGATCATCAATCCATTCAATCATATAACAAGTTCAACTCTAACTTATTTTTGGGAAAAAAAAACCTAAATATGATTAAAACATAGTCAGTTTATCTAAATATGATTATTAAAATTAATATAACTAAACATAATTAATGAGATTAAAATACATTTTTATACATTAAATTAAATATCTTAAAACAAAAATATTCATTACTTTCGACCAATTAAATATTTAAATATACACTATCATCGTCAGTGTCACTTCCAAGGTTTTAAATAGCCGTAGGGGCAGCCGTAGCGGTGGCGGTCATCTTGGTAGCGGCCGCTGCGAAACGTATAGCGGTCGCAGCGGCATGAAATATTTTCAAGTGCGCACAACATATAATTAATGGGTGATAAAACTAATAGAAATATTATGAATATTTGTTTGAACACTTATATGTGAACAACTGAACAACCAATAAGAATATGACAATGAAAAGAGAATGATAATTAGAAAGATTGGTAAACTAAATAATTATTACACACAAACAAAAATATATTCAAACTAAACAAGTCTTAACACATCTTTGTATTACATAGATTCTTACATTAAATGACACATTACAAACACGGCTCAGAATGTATCCACATGATATAAAAAATTCCAAATATTACACTGAAAAATGGACCATGCATTGCAACTTGCATAATCCATAATAATATCACTTCCGACCCAAATTGTTTTGTTAAGTCAACTTTTTCTTCATGAACCGATATTAAAGTTAAATCATCCTTATTAATAATTGATTCAGTTTTAATAATTAAAATTTACGTATTTATTAATATTTGGTCGCATAATATATGGGAATACATGTACATTTAATTTAGAGTTTCACTTCATGCACCGTCATTAATGTATTTCACATATGCACACAACATTTACATATTTACACATCAACTGGTTCGTGATGCACCGCTGGAGGTGCCGGTAGCGGCCTATAGCGGTGTGTAGCGGGCGGTGTAGCGGATTGTAGCGGTAGTGTAGCGGACTGTAGCGGATTTTTGTGGGATTTGAATTTCAAACCTTGACTCACTTCTTTTTATTTCGACATTAGTGCTCTTGCCGGCATCATTGCGCTTTCCATCGTAAATCACTGCTCTTACCATGACATTAGTTTCCTCCCGCCTACATTACGGCCCTTCGTTGACACCTGATGTTAGTTTTCTCACACTTAAAATACGTAGCAGTATAGGGTAAAGTACGAGTATCGTCTCCACAGGGACGGAAAGAGGGAATCAGGAATTAACTAAATTCAGGGATTAAAATAAATAAAATAAATGTGATGTGCGAGATTTGGATTTTTGGGAAAATAAAATGCTAAAAAGCGATTAAATTATAGGGTTCTTTCTGATTAATGACGATAGGGAACAAGGATTGATTCCGGAGTAATCAGATTTCTAGCTGATCAGGTTTAATCACATGAAAAAAAAATTGTTGAGCAACGCTAATCAATACTAAATTCTAACCGCTCTCGCGACGTAGAGTACAATAACTTAGGAAATCATGTTGATCTCTAATGCGGCAGGTATCTAAATTATTGTCAAAACGAGCGAGCGTACGGCTCCCTAATCGTTACTAATCTCTTAGCGAACGATTAAGTGTGTGTGAAGGTATCCTGGAATAAATTATATATCTATTAATTTATTCTACATTCAATTATAATCCTAGTGACCATTCTAGGTACAAGAGATATCAATTAATCATTCATACACAAATTAAATAGATTCGTGCAATTAATCCATCAAGAAACTAGTTATACATCATGATTAACCCCTTCATCCATCCCAAATCCCTAATTAAAACTACTCATGATTCATAATTGAGTAATAAACAGAATTGGGATGAAAAGAATTAATTGTCATTAATTAAAAAGATGGAACCTACAAATAATCTCACGATCATGAATAACTAAAAGGAATTCTACTCAAAATTTCGTCCTAGGCCTCTCCATAAGCTCTGTTACCAAAAAACAGTGGTTTACAAGCCGTTTAAATAGAAAAGGAGCAATTTTGGACGAAAAAGCACACCTGGGTGCAAAAAAAATGACGGACACGGCGTGCCCAATCGGCAGTAGCTCCAGCGTGATTTTTCTCTTCTGTGCACGACGTGCTTACTTCAGGCGCACGGCATTCATTTTCCTGTAGTAATTTGACTATGCTTCCTGATGGAGTAATATGACTAGGCCCAGAGCCTAATCAGCCTAAGCCCCGAACTTGGATCCGTGGATCCAAGTCCAAATTCTACACTAGTTTCTTTTATATGTAGGTACAACTGAATGAAGTGGGGGATTGGGGGTCTTTCCATCTTCAAGGAAGCAAATGACGAACCTGACGAGTCTGAGCCCAACGAGAAGAACAATTGTAGTCATCCTATTCGCATATGGCGACCATTGCAATGAAGGCTGAAGATTTCACCCCTTGCTTCATCTTAGGGGCATCAGGTGTACTCTTTTTCCCTTCATTAGTATTTTTTCCCATTGGGTTTTTCCTAGTGAAGGTTTTTAATGAGGCATCTCCCCGACATGGACGAGGGAGGAGATCTTCCAGTCTTGAAGAAGAGCAACTCACTTGGGCTACTCCCTCTTAGCCGAGTCTACTACTCGACTAAGGGAGTGGGGGACTCGTGATGGAGTTATGGGACTAGGCCCAGAGCCTAATCAGCCCAAGCCCTGAACTTGGACCCGTGGATCTAAGTCCACAACCTAGAGCCTGCCTGCCCAGCGGGGAGCCTGCCAGTCCGACCGACCTCCCAGCCCGGAAGAGTAGCGGTCAAGCAATTAATGCGCTATTAATAATGTATTTAATTACGTATTAATGTTGTAATTAATTAGTCATTATTATCGGTAGCAGTTACGATTTGTATACGTCTATAAAAGGCGGCTTGTAATTCATATTAAGAGGAGGCAATTTCTACATGCTATTTCTGGCAACTAAATCCCTTTGCAACTTTCCATATTCATACTTTTCTAATTCCTGTTTGAGTGTTTTTACGTAGCTTTCCTAAAAGCCTACGAGCGTCCTATTTTGGACCAACATTGGTGCTTTCATTGAGAGCCTCTATTGTCTCTCTCATCACTCTAGTAGGAAATTTCAGAAAAAATGGATGAAGATCGGAGGTTTCTAACAGTTCTTGAGGTCTGTTACTCACAATATTAAAAAATCTTGTTCTTGAAATTCAGCAAAAAAAAAGCTGGATGCGTGAAGATCTATGCCCGGAGATGCCGCTGCCGGCCGCCGCCGTGTGTCATCACAAGCTCTCTGCCCGCTGAAGCTCACCCAGCCCGTTTCCGGTTCTCGTTGTCTCTTGCCGCTCCTTCCTCTGCCTCTATCATGGGGTCTCGGGCCACTGCTCGCGTCTCTAGTCCCGCCACAGATCTGTCGGTCACTGCTCAGAACGATCAAATCTGTCGTCGAGCAAGCTCTGTCGCCGCCATCCTGACCTCCGCTGTGGCCTGAAGCACCTACCCTAACTGCAGATCTCTCGCCGACGTTGAAGGATCGCTGTCTTGGTCCCACCGTCACTGTTAAAGATACGGCCACTCTAGATCTCACCAAGCTGCTGCTGCAGCCTATAGCCGTCATCGTCGAAAAAACCGGAGTTGCGGCCTCGTCAGCCGTAGAATGCATCTCGACGTTGATGTTTAGGTCTTCAGGTGAGAATGCAGCTGAAGATGGAGCCGGGAGTGCAGCAGGAGATGGAGCCGGCCAAGGTCTCTGCACGACCCGTGACCTGTAAATCCTTGGAATCGATGCGAACCACATAGTTCGAGGACCATCCGGCGGCAGCCATGGCGAGAAGTACCAATGATGGCTGAAGGCTCCAGAGAGGCCTCTCTGTTCGGCCACACCCTCATTCTATTCACGGCATTCTGGACATGAACTCTAGGTCAGTTTGACCAATGCATTTGGGCCATAGAGAGTGGACTCCATTTATGCCAACAAGACAAAACATTGGGCTAGCCCACCTTTGACTCAATCATGTTTTCCAGCAACCTTGATTTAACAACCCATTTGGGGATTCAGCCCATTCCAAAAGCTAAGTGGTCTCTCCAATTCTTTATTAAAAAAAACACCATAAATTGAAACATTTGAAAAAATATTTTAAGTGGTATGATTGCTTTTACTCTTGTTAAGCGTGTGTAATTTTAACATTGAACAACGGACTTATGAAATATAATCACTCAAGTACGCCGGACGAGCACACACACTCGTACATTGGCCGAGCACACACACTCGCGCCACCGGGTCACGTCATATGGGTGTGACGATTAATAAGCTCCAATCTAAATGTTAATACCTCACACTCTTGACTTCTTACGGGTTCTTGCGTGCTCTTACCTCTTCCTAGTGCATCACACTCCGACCTCGGGGGACGAGTCAC